CAGCACAGACACAGAAAATAAATGCAGAAAGGGGACATTATTAAATCCTGACATCATTCCTGTGGTATCACAGACATGAATTTGTCGTGGTAACATCTGTGTTAACGTATTATCAATTTGCCATATAGGTTTACTTCACAGTCTCAATCAGCTACATTTTACAAAAAAAAAAGTACACCGAAATACATATTCACCTTTTATTTTCTTATAGTGTACACTGGTACTGATTAAACTAACCCGGCAGCATAAAACACAACTACAGTTTGCTGCGCAAGTTCACAAGTCCAGTGTGAAATAAACCTACATAAAAAGTTGATTTCTTTGAGCCCCATATTGTATTTTTAAGGAATGCTTTTCAACTATGAGGTTCATGTGAAATATAAATTCATTCATGAGATTTAGAGGGGAAACCACTTTTATCAAATCTGTTGCAACTGACATAACCAAAAATGTGTCTTTTCATTTGTCTCTTCTTTCTTTATTATAATCGTATAATAATAATAATAATAATAATAATGATATATATATGTATATATATAGATATATATGTGTATAAATAATCCCCATTTTTGAAAACAACAACAAAAGTTGCATTAAGAATTAATTAATGGGAAACTGCAATGAGACGAAACTGGATTCTTCTTCAGCTTTTAAGAGCAAGCCCAAACTTTTAGTCTTTATAAAAAGTAAGATATATTAACACTGATATTGCCAAACTTTTTTTTTTCTTTTTGCCTTGACACATCTGAAGCTGGTCTGATAGGACTTAACCATCATTACTCAGGTTCGTACCACAGAAGAAGAAGCATTGTGAAGGCACCTGCCCTTGTTGCCTTAACTTTATAGTTTATGTGAGAGTTGGGCTATACCAGTCTTTCAGCTTGCTGTTTTTCCAAAAAAAGGAACAAAATGTTTTTTCCCCTGCTAGAGAGAGGACTTCATAATAAATATCTATGTTCAAAAGGTCTATAAGGAAAATTTCACTTCCCTTACAACCCTCTATGAATTTTCTTTAAAAACTGTCACAAACAAACACCAGCTCTAGCGTCCTGTCCCCGGTTTTACTAGTGGGTGGTGGGACACCCAGCCTACCTCGTCTCCATTCACTGTCAGCGTTTGGACCGCGGTGATCGTGGAGTTCATGCATCCCATTTTCACCTTAAAGCAACGATGTGAAGTCAATCCTTGAAATTCATAAAACACCAGCTGTGTTTTGTTTTCTGGATTTCTTGTTGTTGTCTATGTGTTATCGACTGTTGTAGATTTGCATTCCTTCACTCAGACACTGCAGTCTCCATGGGTCCCGTGCGTTGCTAGGTGCCGTTGCTACAATAAATCTGACCTGGTCAAAGAGGTGATACTGCAAAGTCTACGTACAATGATCAAATTCGTTCATTTCTGATCAAATTTGTGCTTGCATCGTCCTTAAATGAACTCGTATGACAAATTTGTTGTCGGACTTGTGTTTGGGAGTAGAGTCGACTACAAAAGTATAATCGTGCCAGAAATCACTAGACGTGCATGTTACCAGATTACCACAAACAGAGGGGCTTGGTAAATAATTCAGCCAGGAGTCAGTGTGCCAAAAATAATTATATAAAACATGACCCTGACACATAAAACACAACACACTGTTCCGCTTACCATTAATTTTTACTCAGATACCAAGTTTCAGTGCGTGTGACCTTCGTTTCCTAAAACAACAACAACATGAAAATAAAATGAATATAAGACGAACGGACAGTGACAAATATCAACAAATAAGATACGCTTTTAATAAGCAAGCAGGGCCGGCCCGTGGCATAGGCCGTATAGGCAAATGCTAAGGGCGCCGTCCATCAGGGGGCGCCACGCCAGTGCCACAAATGTT